ACTACAGAAACACTGACTGACTACAGAAACACTAACTACAGAAACACTGACTACAGAAACACTGACTACAGAAACACTAACTACAGAAACACTGACTACAGAAACACTGACTACAGATGACTACAGAAACTGACTACAGAAACACTGACTACAGAAACACTAACTACAGAAACACTGACTACAGAAACACTAACTACAGAAACACTGACTACAGAAACACTGACTACAGATGACTACAGAAACACTGACTACAGAAACACTAACTACAGAAACACTGACTACAGAAACACTGACTACAGATGACTACAGAAACACTGACTACAGAAACACTGACTACAGATGACTACAGAAACACTGACTACAGAAACACTGACTACAGAAACACTGACTACAGAAACACTAACTACAGAAACACTGACTACAGAAACACTAACTACAGTAACACTAACTACAGTAACACTGACTACAGAAACACTAACTACAGAAACACTGACTACAGAAACACTGACTACAGAAACACTAACTACAGAAACACTGACTACAGAAACACTAACTACAGAAACACTGACTACAGAAACACTGACTACAGAAACACTAACTACAGAAACACTGACTACAGTAACACTGACTACAGAAACACTGACTACAGAAACACTGACTACAGAAACACTAACTACAGAAACACTGACTACAGAAACAATGACTACAGAAACAATGACTACAGAAACACTGACTACAGAAAACACTAACTACAGAAACACTGACTACAGAAACAATGACTACAGAAACACTAACTACAGAAACACTGACTACAGAAACACTAACTACAGAAACACTGACTACAGAAACACTGACTACAGAAACACTAACTACAGAAACACTGACTACAGAAACACTAACTACAGAAACACTAACTACAGAAACACTGACTACAGAAACACTGACTACAGAAACACTAACTACAGAAACACTGACTACAGAAACAATGACTACAGAAACAATGACTACAGAAACACTGACTACAGAAACACTAACTACAGAAACACTGACTACAGAAACAATGACTACAGAAACACTAACTACAGAAACACTGACTACAGAAACACTAACTACAGAAACACTGACTACAGAAACACTGACTACAGAAACACTAACTACAGAAACACTGACTACAGAAACACTAACTACAGTAACACTGACTACAGAAACACTAACTACAGAAACACTGACTACAGAAACACTAACTACAGAAACACTGACTACAGAAACAATGACTACAGAAACACTAACTACAGAAACACTGACTACAGAAACACTGACTACAGTAACACTGACTACAGAAACACTGACTACAGAAACACTGACTACAGAAACACTAACTACAGAAACACTGAGAGGAGAAAACAATAACTACAGAAACAGAGAGCAGAGAAAAAACGGAACTCTTAAAGACTCTTGTAATGATATGTCAATGATAACTTAAGACAGATGTTCAACTGTAGTTGGTAAACTACAGGTTTGAAGGTTTTAACAGGTCATTAGTTTGTCCGCCACCGCTGGACGCAGTTTTGTATCCCTTTTGTTCGCCTATCAATCTATCCGTAACAGAAAGCTGACGGATAATTCTGTATTAAGTCAAAAGTTTTTCACCTTTGTTTCCAGTAGTCTGTTGATCTATGCAAACTGCAACAGAGAAAACCCAAGAAGATAAAAACCGCAGTCAATCATCTCTCGTGTTTAATCCTGTAGACTATAGTTAACCCGACGTCTGGGTCGGAGTCAGGTCGTCGCTGTCTCTGTACTCTTTTATAGACAGGATGTGTGGGGGGCATCTTTTAAATGGGGAAGAAGTTATCATGTAATGATTGACCACCTGCTGTCATGGAAAGAGCACATTGAATATCTTTGCAAATGGACAAAACAAATAATGTATTTTCTCCGCCGTCTTAGGTCTTTTGGGGCGAGCAGAGAAATTCTTCTGTTGTTCTTTACATCTGTGATCTTGTCCATTCTACAGTACTGCAATACTACTTGGTACAAATGTTAGTCAGCAGCTTTAAAATCAAAACTGCTCCACCTGTTAAAAATCTGTTCAAAGATTGTTGGTCAACCCTGTTAGAGACTCTATGACTCAGCCCATCATAACAACCTAGTGAGGCTGTCCAACAACATCACCTCTGACCCAAAGCATGTTCTGAACAGTGAATATGAACTGCTACCATCTAATCGGAGATACAGGGTCCCACGATTCAATAAGGTCAGACTGGAGCACTCCTTTGTGCTCCAGTCAATCCTCTCAGTAAATACAGAGCTGATCCCAGATCAGATGCACGCTGAAGGCTCTTTGAGCAGCTTTTCTCTCACTGATCGTGCTGTTATGTTAAATGTTTGTTGTTTGTGTTTCATGTATTTGTGTCTGGATATCTGTCTGTTGATGTTGGACATGGAGCTGCTGTGACGCAAGTCAAATTTCAGACTTGATCTTACAAATAAAGTAATATCGTATCGTATCGTATAAAGCCTGACTGAGAAACATCTCCATATTTGGTCAAATTCAACGTCTCAACGATAAAATGAGTTTAGGTGTGTCACTTCATTCAGTTTCTTCACATCCTGCACAGCAGTTCCGAAACTCTGCAGTATGGAAGTCGGTATCAAATCATTTCAAACTCTTTAACCAACCGCTCTAATTCCCAATAACTAGTTTTGAGGAGACGAGTCATGTAAACCGTTTTAAAGAATACGTGTTTTAAATGAGATTTCTGTGGATAACTCGTGGTCGAACAGAAAGACTAATCCCTTACTGTGTTTGACTTTGGATCAGTGGATCCTTATAACGTCTCTCTGATAGACTAACTTATTATTATTGTGTTAATGTACCCAGAGGACATAAATAATAAAAGCTCTATGAGTCTGCAGACTTCTCCTTCCTGCATCTGTGGGACAGAAAGACTCTTCTTCTGCTGCGAGGATGACAAACGTCTAAACGACTCAGAGGAACTTCCCTTCATCGATGCGTACATTTCATCATTTAAAATCATTATCATCTCCCAGAAAACCAAAACAACACCAAATAAAGAGCAAGGAGAGTGTCAGTAGTTTCAATACTCTTTAAACACTCAGCATATCACTGAGAGTGACTTCAGTGTGTGTGTGTTTGGGATCAGAATATAAAATAACTATATTTTCATTAGTGCGTATCTTAAAAATATCTGGTGCAAACGTTGAGGCACACACTTTATACTTTCTATCTTCAGATGTAGATCCTGTGAGCTCTCTGATGCAGCGCTGCAGATGTTGGTCTGAATGCGACGCTGTGCAGAGTGTGATCCTCCATCCATCAGCAGGATGATCCTGCAGGGGGGGGGTGCTTTCTGGAGGAAATCTAAACTCAGATCAGAAACGATTTTTATCTTTCACTTCATAGAACTATCTGTGCATGTCAGACAGCACAACTCACAGCTATGATAATATGTCTGCATCAAAGAATGTATGAAACTGGTCCTACTCTGCTGTCTCTACTTTAAAGAGTCCTCTCCTGCTGATGTTCAGGTGTATATCAGTATGTCGTGTCTCTACTTTAAAGAGTCCTCTCTTGCTGATGTTCAGGTGTATATCAGTATGTAGTGTCTCTACTTTAAAGAGTCCTCTCCTGCTGATGTTCAGGTGTATATCAGTATGTCGTGTCTCTACTTTAAAGAGTCCTCTCCTGCTGATGTTCAGGTGTATATCAGTATGTCGTGTCTCTACTTTAAAGAGTCCTCTCCTGCTGATGTTCAGGTGTATATCAGTATGTAGTGTCTCTACTTTAAAGAGTCCTCTCCTGCTGATGTTCAGGTGTATATCAGTATGTAGTGTCTCTACTTTAAAGAGTCCTCTCCTGCTGATGTTCAGGTGTATATCAGTATGTAGTGTCTCTACTTTAAAGAGTCCTCTCCTGCTGATGTTCAGGTGTATATCAGTATGTAGTGTCTCTACTTTAAAGAGTCCTCTCCTGCTGATGTTCAGGTGTATATCAGTATGTAGTGTCTCTACTTTAAAGAGTCCTCTCCTGCTGATGTTCAGGTGTATATCAGTATGTAGTGTCTCTACTTTAAAGAGTCCTCTCCTGCTGATGTTCAGGTGTATATCAGTATGTAGTGTCTTTACTTTAAAGAGTCCTCTCCTGCTGATGTTCAGGTGTATATCAGTATGTAGTGTCTCTACTTTAAAGAGTCTTCTCCTGCTGAGGTTCAGGTGTATATCAGTATGTAGTGTCTCTACTTTAAAGAGTCCTCTCCTGCTGATGTTCAGGTGTATATCAGTATGTCGTGTCTCTACTTTAAAGAGTCCTCTCATGCTGATGTTCAGGTGTATATCAGTATGTAGTGTCTCTACTTTAAAGAGTCCTCTCCTGCTGATGTTCAGGTGTATATCAGTATGTAGTGTCTCTACTTTAAAGAGTCCTCTCCTGCTGATGTTCAGGTGTATATCAGTATGTCGTGTCTCTACTTTAAAGAGTCCTCTCCTACTGATGTTCAGGTGTATATCAGTATGTCGTGTCTCTACTTTAAAGAGTCCTCTCATGCTGATGTTCAGGTGTATATCAGTATGTAGTGTCTCTACTTTAAAGAGTCCTCTCCTGCTGATGTTCAGGTGTATATCAGTATGTAGTGCCTCTACTTTAAAGAGTCCTCTCCTGCTGGTGTTCAGGTGTATATCAGTATGTAGTGTCTCTACTTTAAAGAGTCCTCTCCTGCTGATGTTCAGGTGTATATCAGTATGTAGTTTCTCTACTTTAAAGAGTCCTCTGTCTGAAACCAGAGCCCAGTCTGTTTGATTGGTTAGCTGCCTGGCTCTTTTGTGATTGGTCAACCGCTTATAGATGTCCCGCCCCTGAGCCTATTATGTGCAATGTGTACATAGTTATGTCACTGTGTTCTAGAAGTAAACACACAGAAAGACAGAACAACAACAAATACAACAAATTACAAATAACAAGTAATCTATATTCCTCTCAGCCCTCAAGACCCCCTCACTGCCTCGCAGCCCGGAGACACCGTCTCTTCAGCCCCGCCCCTCCAGGTGCAGCAGGCCCCGCCCCTTCAGGTGCAGCAGGCTCCTTCAGAGGAGAAGCGGAGCGTGGAGGCGGAGCTTCAGCGCTGTCAGGAGGGAGAGAGAGAGGCTAAAGAGAGAGTGCACAGGTAACAACACACGTGTAACACACACACCTGTAATACACACACCTGTAATACACACACCTGGAATACACACCTGTAATACACACACCTGTAATACACACCTGTAATACACACACCTGTAATACACATCTGTAATACACACCTTTAACAGACACACCTGTAATACACACCTGTAATACACACACCTGTAATAGGCGTGTGGCGCAGTGGGTTGTGTGTTGGTTTTCGGATCAGGTGGTCACAGGTTCAAACCCCACTGCAATCAGCATGTCGTTGTGTCCCTGAGACACTTCACCTCAAATTGCTCCTGTGGGGATTGGCCACCGTATTGAGTATGTAAGTCGCTTTGGATAAAAGCGTCTAAAAAATACATATAATGTAATGTAATACACACACCTGTAACAGACACACCTGTAACAGACACACCTGTAACATACACACACCTAATACACACACCTGTAACACACTACACCAGGGGTCGGCAAGTAAGTTTGGCCTTGGGCCAATATTTTTCTGATCCACGAGATGGCGGGCCGGAACATAATCAAAGGCGTATTTAAGTAATTGATTCTTAAAACATGTGACACGTTCGAATGCTTGGGGGGTGGGGGGGGTGCTAGTGAACTGTCAACGGGGGGGAGCCTCGCTGCGGTGCCGCTGCGGTGCCGTTCTGTGATTCTCCAGATTCTCCAGATGGCCAGTCCGCCACTGCTCACAAGCTTATTAAGATCCAAAGCTTTAGTGCGTTTTGAATCAATGCTGAGTACAGCCAAACAGTCTCTTTTCTGTCATTGTAGACCGAATGCTTCTCGTTTTGCGCCGTCCCGTTCAAATGACATCACATTTCCAAGCTCGCGCCAGGGGGGGGTTACAAGGCTTGCGTCTTGTGCTGCATTCAGTTGCACTCGGACATTAGGGATTTTCTCTCATAAATGTCCGATGAGCCAAAACTTTTCTTTCAAAACAAAGCTGCCAGCTGTGGTGGCAGCCTATGCACCACCACCCCTCGCCCTCCATGATCAAGCGGCTTCTCTGATTTTGTTGTCAATGTTTTGACTGAACTTTGTTACTGTTCACATATAAAACCGCATGTTGGCTATTTCAGCACCACGCGCTGTCCACCTACTTATTGATCCACTATCAGCGCCAGTGCACCCCGCTGCCAGATTGTGCCTGTGCTGTGTGTCATTCACTCTCAACATGGATAAAAGTACAATAAGCATTCTTCAGGTGTAGGTAGATTCTCTCTTCGGATATTATAGCCTTTATGTGCGACTGTCGGTCCGATATTGTAAACAAATTAAAATATATATATATATTATATCTTTAATTTTATTCTCAAAATAATTTTCCGGGCCAAATATTATTGCTGGCGGGCCACCAATGGCCCGCGGGCCGCCTATTGTCGACCCATGCACTACACACACCTGTAACAGACACACCTGTAATACACAACTGTAATACACACACCTGTAATACACACACCTGTAACAGACACACCTGTAACACACACGCACATACACACACCTGTAATACACACACCTGTAACAGACACACCTGTAACACACACACACACACACACACCTGTAACACACACCTGTAAACACCTGTAACACATACACCTGTAACAGACAGACTACACACAGCAATAACTTATTTATTTATTAACTAGCATCTGATTTTCAACATGCTAATCACATGATAACTTCTGCGCTGCCCGTATATGGTGCTTCCTGTTTGCTGGCCTCAGAGGGGGGCACTTCCTGTTTGCTGGCCTCAGAGGGGGGCACTTCCTGTTTGCTGGCCTCAGAGGGGGGCACTTCCTGTTTCAGAGCACGTCTGTATGTAAAGCAGCCGTCAGCAGAGATGTGTTCAAAGACTGGTTAAGCGTGTGGGACTAAAGAGCTTTGGAGCTCCTGATTGATATTCGGAGTGCACGGTGATATTAATCCCGGGATGACGGCGGCTCTTCTTCTTGTTCTCTTCTTCTTCTCTGCTCTCAGTGAGGATGAGCTCATCAGGAAACAGATTAACGTCCGTCTGCGTCTCCGGACTCAAACCCGCGCTTTAATTCTGCTGCCGGCGGGGGGGCGGCTCTGAAGGGCCTGAGGAGAATATTTGCTCTGAGAGAAATCTGCTCTCATTACTGACACTTTAATTTGGTTTGGAGGGAAAGTCGTCAGGGTCACTTCCTCCTCATTTCCTCAGGAAGTTCATAAACTCTCACAGCAACAGGAAGTACACTCTGAAGTCTAAACAAACAGGAAGTACACTCTGAAGTCTAAACAAACAGGAAGTACACTCTGAAGTCTAAACAAACAGGAAGAAGCTACAGGAAGCTACAGGTACATACAGGAAGCTACAGGTACATACAGGAAGCTACAGGTACATACAGGAAGTTGTTACTAAAGGTGTGTGATGCGTTCAGGTTCATGGTGACATCACAGTGTTTCCGCCTGCAGGTTGGAGCGTCTGGTGGAGGTTTTGAGGAAGAAGGTCGGGACAGGAAGTGTCCGAGCCGTGATGTGACCTCCGAACCAGGAAGTGCTTTATCTCTCTTTCCTTTTGTTGTCACTGGTTATTATTTCAGTTTATTTGAAACGTCTTAAAGGTGACTCTTTGTGTTTCTGTAATCATGTGATCTGATTTTAAAATTAAAGTGAAAACAACCTGCGTTTTTAATGTTTGTGATTAAATCTTGATTTGTCGTTGTTATGAAATAAAGTCTTTATAATTATGTTGTTTAGAACAGACCTTTTTTATTTCCTGTTGGATTGTGCAGCGCCGCTTCCTGTAACGAGCGCTGATCTGAATAAAGGTGAATAAAGTCGGCTCTTTGTCTCCGTGTGTGTTTAAGGTTCCTCTCTTTAGTTTTAAACAGAAATTAATTTGTGCAGATCGCTCTGACAAAAGAGAGGAAGCCGTGTTCCCAAAAAACTTCAAATTCAAATTAAACTTTGACAACTTTCAACAAAAAACTCAAACTCTGCAGGAAATATAAAACTATATATATAAAACTCTGAAACCTACAGGTCAGGTTCACTGCTTTAAGTTGTTTGATTTTCTCCGTAAACAATTAGATGTTTGTCCTTCAGATAAACTACAGCTACAGGTTGGCATCAGGACTACGTTACCCAGAGTTCCCCTGGCTGCAGGGCCGTCCCTGGCCAACTTGAGGCCCCACGCGAGCGTCGACGGGGTGACGGGGTGACGGGGGGGGGGTCTGCGTGATCTTCCTGTGGGGAGGGACGGCCCTGCCTGGCTGGGACCTCAGAACACCACAGAAGAAGAGTCAACAAACTGTTAACATGTAAACAGAAAACGACGGTTTAAATATTGATTAATTTACACACACTGACACACACGGTCTGCTCTGCATTACTCTGTTCAAACACCAGGAGATCTCTGATTGGTCGTCCTCTGCAGCAACACACACACACACACACACACACACACACACACACACACACAGGAAACCAGGAAATAAAACTTTTAAAATATTGTCTTTTTATTCTTTAAAATTCAAATTCACTGTTTGAAAAGTTTTTATTAAATGTTATATTTATATATAAAAATGTTCTTGGACAGAATTTATTATTTTAATGATTGATTCATGTTTATATTACACCTGACACACCGAGGTCCTGTGTATATGCGTGTGTATGTATATATATATGTGTGTGTGTGAACCCCCCAGCTGGTTTCCATGGTAACGGGGACCCCTCTTCTTGGGTGTCCGGTTTTAATCCTGCGGCCGTTAATCTGCGCCGAAGAAAGACTCAGTTTGTTGGAGCTCCAACTTCTGTGTGTGTGTGTCTCTCTTAGTCTGATCTTTGTGATGTCTCCATCAGGGTTTCTGCTTTCTAGTATTTTCTTTCTTTTTGCAAAAATGTGCATCTCAATTTTCTGAAAGAAGCCACCTCTGCAGGAAAGGGCTTCGTTATTCTACTAGCATCTGATCTTAAGTCTTCTCTTGTGAATAATGCAGAAAGTGACCATTTCTTTAACCTCTTTATCCAAAAACCAAGATGGTGACTGTTAGGACCCCCCCCCCCCTCTCTGCTCAGACACATTGAGCAGAGAGGGGGGGCGGCGTAAAGGTGGGGACACCTGTGAGTGTCTCAAAGAGGCTATAAATCCTGGTGTTTAGTCGTCTCCGTCTTGGTGTTTAGTCGTCTCCATCTTGGTGTTTAGTCGTCTCCGTCTTGGTGATTAGTCGTCTCCGTCTCCGTCTTGGTGTTTAGTCGTCTCCGTCTTGGTGTTTAGTCGTCTCCATCTTGGTGTTTAGTCGTCTCTGTCTTGGTGTTTAGTCGTCTCCGTCTTGGTGTTTAGTCGTCTCCATCTTGGTGATTAGTCGTCTCCGTCTTGGTGATTAGTCGTCTCCATCTTGGTGTTTAGTCGTCTCCGTCTTGGTGATTAGTCGTCTCCGTCTTGGTGTTTAGTCGTCTCCGTCTTGGTGATTAGTCGTCTCCATCTTGGTGTTTAGTCGTCTCCGTCTTGGTGTTTAGTCGTCTCCGTCTTGGTGTTTAGTCGTCTCCGTCTTGGTGTTTAGTCGTCTCCGTCTTGGTGTTTAGTCGTCTCCGTCTTGGTGATTAGTCGTCTCCGTCTTGGTGATTAGTCGTCTCCGTCTTGGTGTTTAGTCGTCTCCGTCTTGGTGATTAGTCGTCTCCGTCTTGGTGTTTAGTCGTCTCCGTCTTGGTGTTTAGTCGTCTCCGTCTTGGTGATTAGTCGTCTCCGTCTCCGTCTTGGTGATTAGTCGTCTCTGTCTTGGTGTTTAGTCGTCTCCGTCTTGGTGTTTAGTCGTCTCCGTCTTGGTGTTTAGTCGTCTCCGTCTTGGTGTTTAGTCGTCTCCGTCTTGGTGTTTAGTCGTCTCCGTCTTGGTGATTAGTCGTCTCCGTCTTGGTGTTTAGTCGTCTCCGTCTTGGTATTTAGTCGTCTCCGTCTTGGTGTTTAGTCGTCTCCGTCTTGGTGTTTAGTCGTCTCCGTCTTGGTGTTTAGTCGTCTCCGTCTTGGTGATTAGTCGTCTCCGTCTTGGTGTTTAGTCGTCTCCGTCTTGGTGTTTAGTCGTCTCCGTCTTGGTGATTAGTCGTCTCCGTCTTGGTGTTTAGTCGTCTCCGTCTTGGTGTTTAGTCCTCTCCGTCTTGGTGATTAGTCCTCTCCGTCTTGGTGATTAGTCGTCTCCGTCTTGGTGTTTAGTCGTCTCCGTCTTGGTGTTTAGTCGTCTCCGTCTTGGTGTTTAGTCGTCTCCGTCTTGGTGATTAGTCGTCTCCGTCTTGGTGTTTAGTCGTCTCCGTCTTGGTGTTTAGTCGTCTCCGTCTTCGTGATTAGTCGTCTCCGTCTTGGTGTTTAGTCGTCTCCGTCTTGGTGTTTAGTCGTCTCCGTCTTGGTGTTTAGTCGTCTCCATCTTGGTGATTAGTCGTCTCCGTCTTGGTGTTTTTTCTTCTTCCTCTTCTTCTTCTGCTGAAGGCCCCTGCGTACAAGATAACTGGACTTGCACCTTTTTACTGCTCAGTCATCAATACCTGGAAGATTCTGAGTTTCACCAGACCACCTGACCCCCGGCCTGGGACGTGGCTGTTTGAGGAGCCACTGTTTGATACTGGTTTTCTTTCTGGAACCCTTTTCTCTTCGACCACCCTAAAGAACGCGTGCATCGAAGCAGGAGTGGTAAAACTTGGCCATTTGACGGGGGTCTCCACTGAAACACTGGCTGAGGTGACGGGCATTCGATCAACCCGAGTTCTGGAGAACTTGGTAGATGAGGTGTGGCAGTCGCTGTCGCCATCCCACCGGACTTTTGCTCTCAAAGCAGACATGAGTATGTCTTTCCTGCCTTGAGTGAGGGTCCTGCGGTGGGGGAATGGAGAGAGGAGGATGGTCTCCTGCTATCACTGGGGACTCTAACACCTGGAACGTTCAGCTCCTGCGATGGAAAGAAGCTATACCTTAGCTGCGTAAAGGTGCTAAACCTCAGCTCTCTTCCAGGCGTCAGAGAGTGCAGGTGGACGGATGTGTTTGGCTTGGGCTTTTCCCCTCAGGGCAGCTGGCGGATCCTGTATAAATCTTTGGTTGAGAAACGGATGGCTGACATCCAATGGAGAATCATACATGGAGCAATAGCCACGAATAAATACAGAGCTCATTTTGACCCAGGCACAATCCGTTGCTGCGTTGGCTGTCCGTTCTGTTTTATGGCAGAAACATTGGAGCATTTAGTGGTGTCTTGTCCCAGATTGGCTGGTCTTACATTTTCTTTTACAGGAGTGGGTGGAAGGGTTCAGGGAGGTTTTCTCCATACCACTTTGTGTCCATGGCCCCAAATACATCCTGAAAAAGAGGGAAACTCTAGTACTGATACATTTCTTGTTTGCTAATGCAAAATGAGCAATCTGGAAAAGTAGGAAGAACCAAGTTGCTGGAGTGGGATGGACGGATGCAGTGCTCTGTCTGAGGGGGCTGGTGGCAGCGCGTCTGAGGGTGGAGCATGCGTACTATACGCTGATCAATCGTCTGCAGGGGGTTCTGGATGTGTGGGCTGTTGGGCAGGTTCTGTGCTCACTGGGGGAGAAGGACTCTCTAATATTGAAGTTTTAAAGGATAGGTGTAGTCTTTGTTTTTAAAGTGTGTAAAAGAGGATGTTTTTAAATTGGTAAAATGTTCAAATGATATTTATTTGGTAGTCATGAAAATGTGGTTATTTATTTGAAATTGTATTGTACTAGGTTTTTTTCAACTCTTTTGCAGGGTGTGTGTTTAGTTACAACAAATGTAAATACAATTTGTTTTGAAAATCCAATCAAATCTTCCTCTTCCTCTTCTTCCTCTTCTTCTTCTCGTTCTGCAGCGTTTCTTCTTTTTCCTCTTCTTCCTCTTCTTCTTCTTCTCTGCTCTTTTCTCCGCTCCAGCCCCTTCCCGTTATTGAGCAGATTAACTCGATCCCCTCCAAAGGGCTCCTGCTTGGGGAATGAAAGGCGAGGGAATAAAGGGCCGATGGCCGCCGCTTTGTGTCCTCATTTCCCTCCATAAGGCTGAGAGGCCCCGCCCCCCCCCCCCCCCCCCCCCCCCACCCCAGAACATATGGGCCGTATTACAGCAGACTGGGTGGCACAGACCCACTAATACTACACTCATATATTAATACTGAAAATACATATTCATATATTAACACTCACAAACCACAGAAAACACTGAAATATAAACCCTATAAATAAAGAACTGAGACAAATATACCAAGACAGAAAATACACAATAAATACAAAAAACACTCAAATAAATATATTAGTACAGAGAAAATAAATATATATATATATAAATACAGAAAACAAACTAATATATTTTAGGGAACAGTAAAAGCAATAATACTTTAATTTATTATAATTATATAAGTACTGATTTTCTCTTATTAGGAATTCATTAATTTGACTGTTTATTTAATTAATTGTTGCTCATTTTATTTCATATTATCTTATTTGTGTTTATGAATTATATCAAAAATAATAACTGTAGTTATAATAATATGATATTTAGTTAGTGAATATAAGACACTCTGATAATGTATTAAAATTAGCATTACATAAACGTGTTATTAATTATCCATCTTATCCTTTTATACATTCAAAGTTTAAATCTTTAAAACCTTTTTACAAAATGAATTTAATTTATATTTTAATATTTTTCTGTAAAGGTCTGACCCTTCACAATAAAAGCCACACACACACACACACACACACACACACACACACACACACACACACACACACACACACACACACACACATTACGGGTTGTGTAAATATCAGTGAATCTCTTTCTTTCATTTTACAATAATCTGT